TAAATAAATAAATAAATAAATAAATAAATAAATAAATAAATAAATAAATAAATAAATAAATAAATAAATAAATAAATAAATAAATAAATAAATAAATAAATAAATAAATAAATAAATAAATAAATAAATAAATAAATAAATAAATAAATAAATAAATAAATAAATAAATAAATAAATAAATAAATAAATAAACAAACAAACAAACAAACAAACAAACAAACAAACAAACAAACAAACAAACAAACAAACAAACAAACAAACAAACAAACAAACAAACAAACAAACAAACAAACAAACAAACAATGTCATTTTTTATATTTTACCATTGTTTCCTATGGTAGGGATGTTGATATCTATGAGATATCTAACAGAAAATTTAACTAAATACAGCATGGCAGCTGATAACACATTTGTATATTTAAGAATTTTATAAAATATAAGATTACTTTTTGTGTTACAGGTCATCAAGTCAGTTGAGAAAGGTTACAGACTGCCACCACCGATGGACTGCCCACAAGCATTACACCAACTTATGCTCGATACATGGCAAAAGGACCGTATCAATCGACCTACATTTTTAAATATTGTGAATACGCTTGACAGGCTTATTAGGAATCCATCAACTCTTAAAAATATCATTAAAGCTAGGTAAGTAAATAAAAATACTAAATATATGAACAAACCTTTCCTCTATGTTAAACATGAAAATATTGAATTAGGTTCTAGATTTACCACCATAGCTATGATATTTGTTATTTAAAATTGTGTAAAGTAAGATTTTTAGAGTCAGCAATTTTTTCACGCCCAAAATTCAGTGCAATTTTTGTTCACAATTTGTTAAATTTGTTCTACATTTCATCATCATTTTGGACCCATACAGACAGTTCCAGATATTATCAACATTTCTTGTGGAGGAGTAAAACTGGACAAAATCACTTTGGTGCCAAAAAATTACAATTGTCTGCAATTAATTTGGATGTTGTAAAAATTACTGGAAATGTTGTAAAAATTACTGGAAATGTTGTAAAAATTGGTTTCTGCTGATTGTAGATGAAAGCTGATAGTGTTTTTTGTTGATAACATACCAAGGTGTGTCAGTGGAATTTGTACACATTGCCGTATGATGTCATAGTTAACTGTTTCTGGCAGAAAGTGTTAATCACAAAATGGAGAAATCAATAAGTCTAGAACATTCATGTCTTTGCAATCAAGTTTTTACTACGTTAATCAGTTGGTTTTATTGTCAGCAGAATGTAAGAATATTAACATGTGTCCCCTTTGGTGTTATTCTTAGTGTGTATAAAGGTGATTGACCACAGGGGAGATACTACGTTGCTTCAGATAGCGTTTTTCGCTGCAGGAAATTCCGATCTTTTAATAGTGTTTTATAGCTTTTTGTTAAAACTAACAAACTTTACTCTTGCTGACATCAATCAAGTCTTCGTAGAGAGTGCAGTTTTTGTATTCCATTCAGTTTGATCACCCGCTCCTCTATCGTCCAATGCCCCCCTCAGTGATTTTTTGGTTATAATGGCTTTTAGTGCATACGGTAGATTATATAATTTATTGCTCGGTTCAGTACTGAGTAGTTGGAACCCAGTGGTGAGTTAATGTGTTTCTTGTCATCATTGATGATACATAATTAGAGTTGAATAAGTTCATATTGTCGGATAGTGTTTAGTCTCTGCAACTTGCATCTTTAACCATATGTCTTCATCTTTCAAGTCAGTTTCTAGAAACAAATAACTTTGATCAAAATATCTTATTTGGTTGCAATTCTTTTAGAAAAGATATGCAAATGACCATGCATAACATTTCAAATCATTTGCCTAGTTCCACAGAAGACTCTTGTAATTGGCTGTTTCAGAAAGTATATGCAAATGAGTTTGTCATGTGGTACATTTGACCTCATTTGCATAGTTCCACAGAAGATAGTCTCTTGTAATTGGCTGTTTCAGAAAGTATATGCAAATGAGTTTGCCATGTGGTACATCTCAACTCATTTGCATAGTTCTACTGAAGATAGACTCTCGTAATTGGCTTGTTTCAGAAAGTATATGCAAATGAGCATGCCATGTGGTACATATCACCTCATTTGCATAGTTCCACTGAAGATAGACTTTTGTAATTGGCTTGTTTCAGGAAGTATATGCAAATGAGCATGCCATGTGGTACATCTCAACTCATTTGCATAGTTCCACTGAAGATAGACTCTTGTAATTGGCTTGTTTCAGAAAGTATATTCAAATGAGCATGCCATGTGGTACATTTCACCTCATTTGCATAGTTCTACTGAAGATAGACTCTTGTAATTGGCTTGTTTCAGAAAGTATATGCAAATGAGCATAATATAGTCTCACAAGAAAAATTCCAATTGTAATGATTTTAATGTAAAGGATTTTAGACAATCATCCCAATAATTATATAATTTGCATGTTAATGTATAAGAAATTCAAAACATTTTAAAGTTTTAATGTTCTTGATGACAATGAGGCTAGTATAGATATAATAATGATTTTGGAGAAGAAAATGTCTGGTGACCAGGTTGAAAGAACTTTTGTACCATCTTCTGTACCTACTGCTGAGACATGTAGACTGTCAAATATTACAATTAATGTACCTGATGTTGGATCAAAAGCTTAATGAAGTGTCAAATTTAATACTTTTAATAGATATTTATACTTACAAAGGTAAAAATGTCATCGATATAACTTAAGATATCAAGTCTGGGAGATAGACAACCATAGTGTGTCACATAAATCAATAAATAGCATTAGAAGATGCTCTCCAGTGGTTACATCATCTGTACAAGCAACTGACTCTTGTATTTGTAGCAATTTTCTCATTTTTCACAAAGTTTTCTTCACATCTACTGTCATACAAAATCTTTCTCTATTTTCTGACACCTTTGATTTATTTTTTAATGACTGAATTCAAATCCTTCTTTGGTAAATTTAGCAACAATTGTAACCCTGTGATCTTTGTGAGATATCTCTAAATGTTTTTTCAGTTGTCATTTTGTGTAAGTTTCCAGCCCTATGATTGCATATGAATAACATGATTACTAAAATAATAGGTCTCAATGAAAACCTATTAGTTTTAGTTCTTCACAAACATTCTTAAAATGAATAATTTAATAAATTTATATGATTTTGATTGATTGTAAGATAATTTTTATTTTAAAGTTTAATACATGTTATGTTACACACAGCAGACAATCAAAATGTTTTACTTTGAATATTTTACATTCCTGATGTAAATCTCAGTTCAATGTGCAATAAAAAAAATCGAGAAGACAATCTATGCTTTGCATCCTGATTGAAGCGCCACTAAGGAGAATTGCATCTCTGACTGATTATAGAAATAAAAGATGGCATGGATGATTTATCTCCTCAATCTCTAGATCAATCTAAGCCTCTAATCCAAAAAGTCTAATCTTCTTCCCAATTGCATATTTTGCCTAATTTTTCATGCTGTTTGGTTTTTACATCCCAATCAACAATTTTTAGATCTAGTTGGATATGATTACATTCGTGTCATGTCTTGTATTAAACAGCAAACAAATGTGTGCATTCAGAAGGGTTGTCATGGAAACATCATGCTCACTTCGAATTTAAGATGTCTACATTAACTCAAATACAAAACATTTCTTTTTTCAACTACGAATTCATATAGATATTTATAACTTTGATAACTTTCTCTATATTCCTACTAATGTTTGATTACTTTCATCTTTCAGGCCGTACAATCCTCTTGACCCGAGCACACCTGATATGACACAGTTTAGAAGCGTTGCTGAATGGCTGGAAAGTATAAAGATGGGGCGATACATTAACGCATTTGCTGAAGCAGGGTACCTGAAATTAGACGATGTTGTGCGATTGATGCTGCATGACTTGCCAAGGATAGGAATAACATTAGTGGGACACCAAAAGAAAATAATGAACAGTATTCAGGCACTTCGAACGCAAATGGGCAAAGATAACGTGATACCTGTGCTTGTATAGCTGCACATACAAGGGTACCCACCGTGCCTTGATAGCGATGACAGTGACACGTGATTATAAATGGCATGTACATGGGTACCTATGTTTGTATGTATAGCTACACCATCAGGGGTACCCGCAGTGTACTTGCAAAGTACTGTATATGTATATGCAAATTATATGCAAATGTGACATTTGTTGCGTCACTGGGCATGCTCAGATGATAAATTCAATGGATTTCTTCCCATGATTCTTTGCTGAGACAGAGGTCATTGAGCATGTTCAGTTCAGAAAAAACTATAGTTGCACAGTGTATGTGGTGTTTTATAATAAAGATATGGTAGTGATTTAAAAAATACGTAAAAGTAAACTAGTGCTTCTTGTTTTTCATATATATGTTACCTTGACAAGCTGCCTGCAGATTGTGTATATTACACAAAACTACTCTTCCAAAAACATACAAAAGCAATATGGTGGCTTAAATCCAAAAAAGTGGATTGAAAAAAAAATGTCAACAACATTTCCTGTATGTCTGGTAAACATTAGCATTAATTATTTATTTCATCTATTCTAGGTGAATGAATGGCCTTCCGCCACTTTGTTTTTGGGGACATTAAAGCGGGGGAGTCGTCACCTGCGCATGCGTCAGATGGTCATAGCGTGTCATTATTTACAAACAAGCGTCTGCCAATGAGCCCTTGCTATTTTAGCGTGTGCTGTTATTGTCGCTTGTGACTCAATTTCCGAGTGTGTGCAGGTGACGATCCTGACGCTTTAAAAATGATTGAAATGTCTTGTGTAATCTGACATTATTCTATTTTCTTCGTAAAAAGAAGCTGTTATGTAAATACTTAAACATGACAAAAAGTGTCTTTGGTCAATATCTTTTCAATTATTTTTAATTTTTATTTATACATTGCAGTTTCTAGTTCTGTTCCTTTTATTTTGTTCAAAAATGTCCACTGCCAGAACTAGAGATATTTTATATTTAAAATAATCGCTTTGTGTTCGTTAAATGTTGCATTGTTTCATGGATAATGCCTTTTAAATGAAATCCCAGCTATTTCTTTTATAATACCTCTGTTTGTTTGCGTTCCTCCTTGTGTACTGAACATGGTGTTTCCTAATCATGAAAAAGTTGGGTTAAACCATTATGTAAATAAGGGTATGAAGGGACTAGTTTGGAGGTGCTGATCTGCTTATTTGTGTAAAATTAATTAGGTTGAAAATAACACGCATTTTAATTAACATATCAAAATTGTTATAAACAAGAAAAATATAAAAATAAGTCATATGTTAATATATTTAAAAAAAACTTGTGTATTTTAGGGAAAAGGCTAAAATAAAAGAGTAGTGCAAAAACTTTTTATTCTGTATAGCTATTTTTAAATTATTAATTTGTTGTTATCCTGGGAAGAGGTGGTGGAATTCATAACACTAAGTGTTCTATCATTATCTGTAATTTGATACATGATACAACGCTCTGCTGTATTAATATTTTTAATTGTATTTTTGTAACTGTTTTTTTTTTGGTTGTCATGACATTTTTCTTTATAAAAAAAAATGTATATGAGATTTTAGAAAGTTGACAATTTCATTTACCGTTGACATTGAACAGCAGCTCTCATCTGTGTTTTGTTTTTTGAAATGTACTTAACTTTTTATGCTTCTCCCCCTGAATGGTTTTGCACAACATTATTTGCAGTTTGCTAATTTGTATTTTTCAATCTATGAGCTAAAATTAGTTTTGTTGCACTAAATTAATAAACACATGGTGATATGTCATGTGATGCGATGTGTCATGTGATATGTCACGTCACAGGGCACATATTTATGATAAGGGTATGCAAATAGCTGGAAAAGCCAGCTTAAAAAATAATTTTTCATGTACCTAGGTGCTGTTTGCATATGCTTAGCTAAATACAGTAACATTTTGCTCCATGTATATTGATATCGCATACTTAATTTTGGTTCAGTAGTTACATGGATTGAAAAATGACAAAAAATGCAGATTATAGCCCTTTTATCCAATTTCTCTTATCTTCCAACAAAATGACATTTTTAATGACTTTTTCTTTTATATGATCATGTCTTGTATATAGTGTACATAATGGAGCATCAGGAGGGAGGGGGTTGTTAGTAAGTAGAACTGTATATAAAGAGCAAAAGGGAGGGGGGAGGGGGAGGGGGGTACTTTTATGTCAGAATACACAGTGTATTTTGGGAAGCCTAGAACAGATTTTTTTCACTTTAATTTGTCCCACCTATGGAAGTAAATTTACTGGTGCTATTGACTCATTTTTTATGAAAGCATGGTTTCCCATCACAAGATAAGCTGATCACCCTTGTAATAATAGTTTAGTCTGGCCTTATGAATATTGTAATGTTCCTGTGGGACATCCCATTGCTGTATAGGGATGAACAGCCCTGTTTTCAACCCACCTGCACAGAGACTCAATGAATTTAGTGTTGATATCCAGTGTTGTAAATTCCTTTTTAAAACCTTTGGAACTCACAATGTGAATGATGGCATGTAATATTCTTTTACAATTGAAAATGTTAAATTTCCTGATTTTGACATGTTTAATCATGTGATGTATATACAGCGTCATTCTACCTAATTAATAGATTTTACTCAAATTGAAGTTTAATTCTCAACCAGATTAAAATATACGAGAGCAGACTAGGACTAATTAATTACTGCCTTTGTGCTGCACTTAATTTTAACTGAAAAACTACAATTTTGTTTATAGTTCATTCTCTCTGATTTATCAATCAGTATAATTTCTCACTAAATTATCCTTCATTTGAGTACCATATTTGTTTTATTAGAAGTAGACATAAACCAAAACATGCCTATACATATGCAGAGTCAATAAATTAGAACTTCATATAACTATAGACACATTTCTGTCATGTACTACTAATAGAGCAAATATGGTATAATGAAAACCAAAATTAAAGTGAATACATAATTTGCAATCCAACTATTTTTTTGACACCAGCAACTTCATTTTTGGTTGCATGATAGTACCTGCAACCGTTTATTTAAAATTCCTTGAAAGGAACCAAGTTTATACATATTAGACCCTGTAGATATCAAATCCTGTAGAAATCAAAATAAACATAATTAAGCAGGAATTTATTGGTAAGAAGTAACACTGGAGTTCAATGAAATGAAAATGAACATCATTGCATGATTTTACAGACTTTTTTGGCAAGATTATGGCAACCATTTTCTTGTTTTATTTTATTGTAAACACAGCTATAATGTATTGTTCAATGTGTTGGACAGATAGCACTGAACCTTGCAAGTTGCAAATGTTTTCAATTTGTCAACACACTAGTTTTTGTCCCACCCAAAGTTCGTATTTTTGTTAATATTTTGAAGTGTGTCTGTACAGGACATGCCTTCCAGCTTGTAAATGGAAATATATACAGAAATAAATTTGTATTTGCTTGAAAAATAAACCCCTTGTTAGACTTGTGTGGTGCATGAGAAGTATATCTGTGTTGTATGGGAACAGTTGTATTGTGAAAGACTACTATTGTATATGGTGATCATTGATTTGCACGATACTGCCATTTTGAACGAGGATCATTGCTTTTCACAATACTGCTATTCAGCAAATCGGGTCAAATTACGCCATTATGATTGGCCTCTAAGGGGTCAAGATACCTACACCATGATCGGCCAATCTTGCCATAGCACACCACCATAATTGGCCAATATGATCAAAGTACCTCGCCATGATTGATCAATAGAGTAAAAGCACTTTAGCATGTTTGGCCAATCGAGTCAAGGTACCCCACCATGATTGGCCAATCTGGTCATAGTACCCAACTGTGATTGGCCAATGTTGTCAAAGTACCTTGCCATGATTGACCAATCACGTAAAAGCACTTCAGCATGATTGGCCAATCGAGTCAAAGTACTGCACCATGATCGGCCATGATTGACCAATGGGGGGAAAAATACCCCCATCATGATTAGCTATTAAGGGATTAAAGTACCCTGCCGTGATTGGCCAATGGTGTTAAAGTACTGGTGTTATCATTCATCATTTAGAATGTAATAGAATTACTCATAATTATAATTGCCCCATTTACATGTACGTACCAAGAGCACTTATCAATTTATTTATTCCACCATTTCAAGTTATTGGAATATATGATACAAAAAAAAAGAAAAAATGAAGCACATTACATTTTGAATGGTGGGAACCAAGGAAATAGTTTGAATCTTATGTAAAAAAAAATAATTGATAAATAAATATCTTCATGAATAAGAGAAATTAGAAACAAAAAAATTTAGCAAAATAACAGAAAAAATGTATACTGTAAAATGACTAATTTTCACTGGGTTTAAATTTCACTGATTTACCATTTCAGGCATCTTCAGTGGGTTTTAAATTCACGGTTTTATCATTTAGATAATGTGTTCTATGCTAAATTTTACATATTCACTGGGTTTTAATTTAGCGCATTTTTCTAGTCAGCGAAATAAGCCAAATTAAAACCCAGTGAATAATTAACCCCTTTACAGTATTTATACTCCATTGTAAGTAGATTACAGATATTTTAAGCAAATATGATCATTATGTAAACAAAAATACTAATAATAAGTGGATAAATAAATATCACAAATAGTATGTGAGGTAACTATAATAACAGAGAATAATATCAGGCTGTGTTAAGTAATTTTTAAATTTTTAAGAGAAAGCTTGAACTTTGAATGTGACTTAAGGTTTTGATAGCAAATGGAAGGAGTTCCACAGATGCACTGTTGAGTACTGCAATGAATTCTGGGTAATTATGAGGTTGACAGCTGGTACAAAGAAGTCATCATTGCATTTTGACCGTGTATTGTATGTATCATGGGGTAACACTCTAGAATGTGTAGTTTTTGAAAAATGTGATTAAGTGGACTAACTTTTTTTGTAATTTAAGCACAGGGTTAATAAAAGATTTAAAGGTATTACCCCATATTTCAATACAGTATGTCAAATGAGGCAAAATTAAGCAATTATACAATATTAATAAAATGTGTTGAGGGAGTAAGAATCTTATTTGTCTGAAGACTCTGATTTTAGAACTTATTTTACTTGACACCAAGGTAGATAGCATGAGATGCACATTCAATCAGTTTATTGTTAATTGTGAGCCACCCTTCAATATTTGCATGCATGGTTAGTTTTTAAAATCATGTAATTTGTTTTGTCAATGTTGATCATGAGTTTATTTGACTTGACCAAGTTTCTCATCCAAGTTTTACAAATTAATTTTGGAACTGTTGGATGAAAAAAAAAAAAATTGTGTCATCGATGAAGAGTCTGAACTTAAAATATTAGATGAATTACACCTAACATTGATGTAAATTAGAAAAAGCAGAGAGCCTTGAGAACCCTGTGGGACCTGCATAAAATATGCTGGTTATCCAACAGACTTCCATTTACATGAAGATACTGTTTACGTAATTGTAAATAAGATTGTAATCATCTCAAAGTAACACCACAAGACTGTAGTGCTCCAATTTCTTCATGAAAACTGGCTTTCCACAAATTGATAAAGATACCCAAAGTCATACACCTAGTATCCATATGTTCAACACTATCTGTCGTTAAGTCTTATAATGATAGTTTTGATACTGTTATTGGCTCGGAAAATTGAGCTTTGGAAAGAATGTCTATCCAGGTAAGAATACAGCTGCTTATTAAAAAGAGATTCAAATATTTTACAAAAGACAGGTGAAATAGAACGATAGTAATTTTTTATTTATACAGTAAAATAATTTTGTAATTTTCAAGCTGTCAAACATGTATATGGCAATGAAGATAAAGATTAGCCAAGTTAAGCCAGCCATCTTGTGCAGCTCATTTAAAAAAAAAAAAATTGTAGTAGCCAAGAGATCCTAGTCAGATTATCTAATTTGGCAAAATATTCTTGGTTTATAAGTCCTCATTGGGACAAAGTCAGAATATGGGGACTAATTTCACCTCTCTGCATCTGTATTCTGGACATGTCTAGGCTGATGACATTCAAACTTCAAACATACATGTTAGAAGAGATATGACAGCCATTTTATTACCAATAAAATCAAGCATTTCTGTCATTCTGGAACCACATGTCGTGTGTGGATGGATTTTGTTTGAATTTGGTGCATTGGTTTTAATTTAATCTTGATGCACATCACTTTGTTATTCAAAATGATCATCTGGCATTCATTTTGTTTGTAAGGCCTATCCTCAAACATACCTGGACGGATCACATTCAAACTTCATACACAACATCCTACATCATATGCATGTATGTTTAGCTAACTGATCCAAAACAAGATGGCCAAATGGCGGCCATTCTAGTGCTGAAAATTCATCTGAATAAATACTATTCTGTATGTCATTCATGTAAAGAGAAATTTCATTCAAACTTGGTATATAGATTGTATTTTAGATTGTGTGTTGGCCATAATCATTGACATCCCTTCACCAATCATGTTACACATATGCACATGCAACTATTTCATAATCCAATTACAGATTGCCAAATGACGTCAATTTTATAAGTGCATTATTAGATCTGGACTATACACAAACCCTGAGGTTACCAGTTACAAAATACAGAGTCCTGGATTCATTAATATCTCATTTTAATATATACATATAAATTGTACAATCATTACACAGAAAGGAAATTAAATCACAACAACAGTGAAGTCAAGTAATTGAGAATATTATTAATAACAGTCTTGATTTACATGACTGCACTGAAAACTTAGTTCACATCTAGGGAAGAATTATTCCTAGAAATTTAAATATATTATTAAATATTAATAATTGGCCACATATTGTAAAATAGAATCTTGTTTAGTTCCATGCAAAATACAATTGGAGGAGAGTATCAGGAGGGGATAGATTGTAGAAGAGTTTTGGAGAGAGGGGATAGATTGTACGAGAGTATCAGAAGAAGGGGGAGGGGATAGATTGGAGCAGAGTATCAGAAGGAGGGGATAGATTGTAGAAGAGTGTCGGAGAGAGGGGATAGATTGTAGGAGAGTATCAGAAGGAGGGGGAGAGGATAGATTGGAGGAGAGTATCAGAAGAAGGGGAGGGAATAGACTGCATAGATACTTGGTTCTTGAAAACACCATCTGTCTAGATGACAAACATACATCAAAAACATTTTCTAAAACATAAACTTAAAATTAAAAGAAATGACCTCACAAAAAAAATCATATACATTCTGAATATTGCTATGATTTATTCAGGTTTGGTCCATCAGAAGACCAAGAAGAAATTGTTATAGCGCCCTCATTGACATTAACCAAAAAATCCACAGATTTTGAAAGGAGGTGTTTAAATTCATTTTGACATTTCTGTTTTGATTATTTTAGTTTTAATACTGTCATATGCATATGTAATAAACCAATGTAATAAGCAATAATTGAATAATCATGCATCAATCAAATTTGTATCCCACATTGGAAACATTAAAATATCTTTTGTTTTTTCAACACAATTTAGCTGTTATATGCTGCCCTCACAGTCACAGATGCACAACTTCTTATAGGACATGTCAGATCACAGTAAAGGGTAATTTGTTGATTTTGGGGGCGGTAACTTCTCAAACGGTCTTTCTTTCTCGATCTGCTGCATACTGTACCGTAGTGAGTGTGACGTATTCAAAAGACTTGATGTCCTCTTCGATGAAGACAATGAAACTGGAACTTTGTTCGCCCATTTGCCGATGGTCTATTAAAATCAGAGAACATACATACATGAGTGACACGCAATAGTATCCATGACAACCTGGCATTGAAACATCTAACATTTACAGTTTACATCTATACATGACATAAGTATGGACAAACAAACAAATTCTGATCACCTATTAGAGCAGTAATTGTTATGGTAGATCTATCTCTCCAATTCCTACCTTGATTTGAATCAAAAACAAAGCTACTGGGGGAGTTTCATTCAGTTACAGACATGACTATAAAAGTGCTCGTTTTCATCCAGACTTGTTAACACCAGGATAGACCATTAAATTGCAGTTATGATAGAGAGTTGAACATGTAGCCGTGTTGTCTAAAACATGGATACGGTATGGAAGTACATGACAGTAAAATCACTCACCGACATAGCAGCTGCTTTACTGGGAACATCCAATGAGTCCTTCAAATCCATACTGTGTGCAGAAGGCATCATAGATGGTTTAGACGACTCCCATCCTGCAAGGCAATGCTGGGTACAAATAAAGTATAGAAAGAATAATTAGAGTGGTGAGATTAGGGTACACATGTGGTTACACTACCATGATTGGTCAATTGGTTAGACTAGCATACCATGATTGGTCAATTGGTTAGACTAGTATACTATGATTGGTCATTTGGTTAGACTAGCATAGTATGATTGGTCAATTGGTTAGACTAGCATACCATGATTGGTCAATTGATTAGACTAGCATACCATGATTGGTCAATTGGTTAGACTAGCATACTATGATTTGTCAATTTGGTTATAGACTAGCATACCATGATTGGCCAATTTGTTAGACTAGCATACCATGATTGGTCAATTGGTTAGACTAGCATACCATGATTGGTCAATAGCCTGGACTAGCATACCATGATTGGTTAATTATCATACACACTGAATATTGACTGTAGTGTACATCCATAAAATGATAAACTTACCTGTGAAAGAGCATAAGAATCAGAAGGATCAAAACTTTTTCTTCTGTGCGGCCTGAGACGATAGGGCGACACAAGGGTGCTTCTTGGAATGCTGACTCTGAAGTAAAGAAATATTATAATGTTAAACCATCTGATTGTCAGACTTCAATAATGTGATGCATATTTCTACCTAACTTATAATCAGACTGTTTTTTAACATGTTTGGGTTAATAATTGAAGATACAGAACTATTTTGCTATAACAAATTCCCATCATGCAATATGATGAAAATGTGACGAAAGTACAGGCTTTGATTTCAAGTTTATGGTCACTGGTTTACACACCTCATACTACATCTGTAACTACAGGATAACAACCAAATACAGCACGTCTCAGTAAAATGTTGTTCTCTTATACAAGTTCTGATTGGATGCAAATCCTTTAAAACTTGAACATAATTTGCATATGAAGTTGATCATACTGTTAGCAGCAGATGAAACACAATCAGAGCGCCTCCCATCAGAATGGCAATCATGTTGATTACTCTGGATAATGATATAATGGTCTTCTCACCTGATATATGATGGTGAACCCCTTCTATTATCTTGCCGCCGTCCTGTTTTACAGATTGGGCATTCACTGTCGCCGTCAGTGGTTTTATGAATTGGTACAGCATACAGGCGATTATTCAGTGCATAGCTATGTATACCTACAAATAACATGATAATATGATTGCTTAAATTAACTTTGCATATTAAAGCGACATTAACTATCTCAAAATAAATTGTTTAAATAAAAAAAAAATCATGATTAAAACTAATATATTTCCCTGATCATAAGCCCCTCCCTGAGTATAAGCACAAGCGTCCACTTTTAAACGGTAAACGAGTTGATGGCATCCCTGATTATAAGCCCAGGATGTCGATGACATATTAAAATATGCGTGTAAAAAGAGTGTTTCGTTGCATAAAAATCATGCTTAGTACGGTAGTTTGATTCGTGAAACCTGGTCACTGGACATTGTTTTACTTTCCCTGAATAATCCTGTCCATTGAAACTATGATGAATGGGGTGTGAACAAGTAAACTATTCTTCGACGTGATCTGTTGGTGGCTCAGTTTTTAAGGGATAAATCACTATTTTTTTGTTGAAATCAGTGCTAACAGATCACATTTTAACAACAAAATTACAGTGTCAATAATCAGAAAACTTCTTCAGTATTACACAGCATTTTGATTGGTTCAAATCGTGCTGAAAAACATCATGGCGGAAAGTGCTTTGCATGGAGAGTTTGTGTATGATTAAAAAACATCCCAAAACAAAGATAATGATAGAGATCTTGTCTTCAACTGTTTTCCCACAGACCGTACCCATTTTTACACTGTGAAGTCAGAAGATATGTAAATTGTATTGTAATAAAATCATTTAATGTGTGTATTTTTATGAACATGTTTGTTTCTTCATTGTGGACTCATTTCACTTTTTTTTCTTCAAAAAGACCTATTATCACCCCGAGTCTGGTATGGTGAACCTAAGATGTTATTGGATAATTTTACATTGGTGGTAAAATGGTTACAATGGTAAACCAAAAAAAAAACATCTTTTCTGAGGTAGTTCTAGAGTAAAAGCCCATCCATTATTTTCCTTGATTTTACACGTTGAGGCACATGCCATTGAGAGTGTCACAGTCCTCTCTGTTCTAGTAGTTTAATACACGACAAATGAAATGTCAGCATATTGTGCAAAAAAGAGCGAAAATGTTTGTCAATCAAAATGGCGACCAGGCAATCATCTTGAATTGGATTGTGACATAATCAACTTTTATTGATGTGCTAGAACACAATCATCTGTGAATCTGTGAATGTAATTGCACAGTGAGAATTCAAGATATATTGCATAGAATCTTGACAAAAATCAACTTGCATCTTTGTGAAATAATACACTGCCTTTGTACTGCATAAACTTAGGAATTGTATTCTCAAGTTATAGGCAAAAAATAAGTATTTTTGACGAAAAAATAGGCACCAGTTGGCCAATTTTGAAAAAAAAAAAATATTGACTCAGTATGCCAGCAGGTATCATCCATATTTTAAGTTTGAACAGACTAGGCCTACACAACTATTTTGGGGTAAATATGGCTGCCAATCAGCCGTTTTGTATCTGAACAGAAAGAAAATATGGGGTATATGTATATCATCATGTATCAACCATGTTCTAAGTTGGGAGGAAATCAGTTCATATACACTTCAGAGATACTGCGCCTGCTGGACAGATGGAACACAATCCATAAGCCCCCAGACTGTCAGGGTTAATGATGCATAGAAGCGTTACACATTGCATTTGATTTGTCGAGCATGGGGGATAGAGGGGTGTCAGGGTGGGGTCGTCCCTTTTGTTGGTTGTCAATTTTTAGAGGACTCTAGGTAAATAAATTTTCTAATTTTCACAATTATGACACACTTTGAGGGTTATCAAACCCAATTTTGGAGAAGATACAAAAATGTATATATCGCATTTTTTATTGCATCAATGATGTGTCAAAAATAACTATTTCTGGAATCCCTTTGTGTCAGTGATGTGTTAAAATGACTTAGAGGGCACACTGAATAGAACTCTACTCCAAACTATGAGCACTATTGGGTTATGTATGCCAGAGAAATCAAGACAGACACATTGTAATTAACAAAAATAAACACATTAACCTGAAAGCAGATATGTATTGTCATTATATTGCGTCGTCTGAGGACATGTTCAAGCATTATGACTAAGTCAAATGTTACGTCCGGATCAGATCACAAATCATACAATGCATGATAAAAATTGTTGATTCCTATCTCAAAAATGGCATATTTATTTTGAATATATTGAGTTCTTGTACAAATAGCAATGAAAAATACTTACATTTGTGTTCATCCTTTTCTTCAACACTAGAAGATGTCATCTTAGGTTTACTTGTCTTTGGTGATTTTGTAGATTTTGGAGTTACAGGCCTAGAAAATAGAAATAAATATCAAAAACGAAACTGCTCATTCAAAATTGAACTGTGGAAATGGCAACATAGATATAAAGACAAAACATTGTGTACACTTTTATTAGATAGTAACACTACCGGTATGTCCTCCTTCAGAGTAAAGAAACAAGAGATAAACTCACTCTTCAGTGAATGATCTATGTTGACATTCATTGTTGTTGACTCGTCGAAACTCACGAATCTCATCAAAAAACGTCTGCGACTTTTCTGCAATCGATTCATCATTTTCAAGAAGACCAGCTATCCAATCATAACCAAGTAGTGGTTGTGCATTTCTTTCATCAAAGTCTGCAGGCAGTCTTGGATCAGGTGAAATGAAACTGACTTTAGCTTGAGACTAAACACAAATGAAAACAAAAATATTATTATTAAGCAAGCTGGCATTCACTTTTTATTATTTTATATTTTTATTTATTTATTTCACCAGTATAAAAACAAAATTTGTACATGTTCATGTACAGGACAAAATTGTATTATACTGTGAGGTCCATGGAAATAATCCATTTGGACTAGTCTAGTCCATGGCCCTTAATATTAAAGGGCGGCAGTCGTCACGCCGCGTCCTGTTCGATATGGGACTCATAGCGACGTATACAACGCGTGTAAAATATAATGTTTGTTTACATGAAATTCAACGCGACGATCACCGTGCTTTAAATAATAAATTAAGTCGTCATATAAGTCACAGTAAACAAACAAAAGTAATGAATTAAATAAATGAGATCAACTAGTAAATAATATAATCAATCATCACAATGAATGAATGAATGAATGAATGAATGGATATTCAAATTATTTAATAAGAGTATTCAAAATTGCATACTTTAAGATGCAAACACTGATTTAAGCATTCTTTCTGACATTTAATTTACAAAACTAAAATGTTACTCAGTGGGATTAAAGGAATTTTAATTTTATTCAGGTTAAATTTTATGGACATGTCTATAATCTTGTGAATATTAATTAAAATCAGTCTATGAAATGTAATTTTTAAGCCCAGTTCATGCTGAATGTGTAATTTACACATAGTTACAAAAAATGTTGAAGGATGACATTTTCAATATTCAAGATAGCTGAACATTAGTTTTCATAAGAACACTATAAAATCTGTCTTCTCTAGTGGCTGTGGAGAAACAAGTTATTATCAAATTTATTCTTTTCTAGTAATTATCAAATTTATTCATTTCTGGTTTTCATCTCTCGCTATTTTTAACATAGGAGCAACACATATATTGCATCCTACAATGATAAAGTTTCCAAACAGTTATAAATTGGAATATATTCAACTTGACCCACACAAAACAGACATATTTATTATTATTATTTTTTTTTATCACTACTTTAGTCTTAGTGTTTTGTATTATTAGTCTAGTTTTGTTTAGTGTAAGTGTAAATATTTTAATTCCCCCTGGGGAATTTGATGTGTTTAATAAAAGTAAAGTAAGTCAGAGTGGGTGTTGTTTACATTTCATCATTTACGCACTTAAGCACCAATATTGTTGCATATTGCTTTGGATCAAACAGAGGAACGGAACACACACTCATAACTGCACTTCATATTTGGTGCAATTTGCTTCAAGTATCCTGTAAAGGTTATCAAAGTAAGGTTACTGCTGGTGTATGCATTCTGTGTATTATCTCTAACATATCTACCCCATTTTGCTATAGCAGGACCCATGATGTTTGAGGGGGCAGCCAACAACCAAATGTAAATAATGCATATTCTGACAATGCTGTGAAACAAGGGGTAAACAGACACCTTAAAGCAGGAGAGTCGTCACCTACGCATGTGGCAGATGACAATAACATGTTGTTGCATCTACCCATGTACTGTTATCGTCACTTAGGCCTCAATTCCTGTGTGCACAGCACACCTCCGCTTTCATTTATCCAATATGTTATTTGTAGAATTCCAACACTTGCAGTCACCTGTATCTTATTTCTTTCATTCACAACAAATTCATGGTGTTGGTTTACCCTTGGATCCATCGCATTAGTGGGCGTTATTTATATTTGTTTGTATTCTGCCCACTCAAACACCACCATGGATACTGCTATAGCAAAATTAGATGCATGCGCAAGACAATACACTGAATGTGCATGCGAACACTAGCAATAACCTAAGGTTAATTCCCGTCGCATGATATTTTAATGAAATTATGCCAAATTCAAAGTGTAAATAAGATTGTTACGGATAAAATCTGGAGGTTCTAGAAATTTTTAGATTGTGTTTAGTTCATCTGTTTCATTGCGCATCAATTTGCTGTGCATCCACCTATAGCAGGATCCATGGCTGTGTTGGGTGAACAGCCAGCGACTGAATGTAAATAACGCCCACTCTGACAACGCAGTTGATCCAGGGCTAGTGTTGGTCACAATGGCTTACCTTGTTGTTTTTTCCTCCTGGAGTCATGAGAATAGATTTTGGAGGTTTACTCATATCCCTGACTAGCTTGGCATGTCTACGATCATTTCCATGAGCCAGCAACTCTTCTTCATATTTTGGGACATATTTCCTTGGTCTCAAACCTTCTCGTTTGCTCCTTTCAGTAAATGAGTTCAAGAATTCTGAATAACGACATGTATTATCCTCTTCCTGGGCTTGGCAATAATTTTTCTTAGGGAGAGGAACACTGGATGACTTTGTTGGTATCTTCTTTGAGTTCTTGCCATCTGTTGCTGTAAGAAAACTACCCATCAACTCCTGAGATTTGTTTGGAGTTTCTGTCCATTGTCGCTGAATTGGTGACTTATTTCTTGAAGGAGTAACAGAGCGTGGTTTGCGAGGTCGTTTGGGTGTGCTACTTGTAACAGTCCTTGTTCTTTCCACTATAACGTGCTTGTTGCGAGTTTTTTTTCCAACTGGACTACGATCTCGGTAGTCTGGATGAATGCTACTTACATTAGAAACTTCAAATTCATTTTGTTGCTGCAAAGGAGTCTTCAGTCGAGGACTTCTCGATTTTCTAATCGGTCGATTGGAGGATGAAACTGAGCTTTTCACATTTTCTTGGTTGCGCCTTAACTGGTCCAAAAGGATTTGGTTGTCATTTCTCAGCTTAGCAAGACGTTTGATATCTGACATTGCAAGTTCGATCTTGAAGCATCAGAATAAAATAAACGTTAAAGAAATGGCACACGCAAACGCATAAATAGAATTCAACTGTGGATCGATATGACGAGACGAACAGGCAACGAAATTCCTGCAATCTCGTTGAACAAGTTCTAGCTTGTTTTGACACATTCCAAATTTCAAAGTGACGAGTTTCAGTTATCGCGTTTTGTCCATATGATTTTTTCTCACAATTCATTGCATATCGAGTTTACTTACCTTAACGTCTCTTTTTTATTAAAATGTAAATCTAAGACATGGGTTAGAAATTATACAAAAGAGAATACAACTGGTAAACATTTACACAGATAATTTCAGGTTCAGATTGACCGCCATGTTCTCGACGACTTTTGAACTCAGTCAGGTGACCACTCTGTCGGGATTTGATTGGCTGAGCTAGCCCCTTGCTTCTTAGGGCGTTCGTCCTTCACGTTCAGTAAGTTGAAATACGACAATAATGTTAATAATTTGAGCGATTCGAAACTGACAGACATGAATGGGAAATATAGTGTATGTACTTATAGAGCTTTCGCGCGGTACATGACCCAAGTTGACCCAGAGATATACAAAAGTAAACATTACTGGGGCGACCTATCTAACTCTTTAAAAACGAAATGTTGAGGTCCGTTTTGAAAAAAGGGTCAACATAGCCGGTAAACGCGTGTGTATTTCTACCGACATTTAACGATTTTTTTACTCAAAATATAGCAGGGAAATACTAAGCAACCCGAAATCGTTAATGTGAATTAACCAAAATAAATATTATCATTTTTTCAAAAGGCTGGGGTGTTTTTATAGTGCACGCCCTCAGTCGTTCACCCAAGAAAGGTGTGACACGCAGACGTTGGTTTTAGAAACTTGCTACGTGTTATCGTCGTTGATACAGTTATTATCGCTGTTTACTTTTGTCAACTCAGTTTGTTTGGTTTGTCATCGTGAATGCGTCGATCAACGACCAGTAGTGATAACGATCACAGTAAATCTGATAAAGAGTCTGAAGACACTATGCAGTACGTGAATTATTCGCGTGCCCGATCCCGGGATAAGCTGGGTCACCAAGGGCTCACTCGACAGTGTAAAATGGCAGCCAGTAGCTGCTTAAGAAATCTTTTCCGTTTACGTATTGTCAAGGTTCTTGTTTTAGTCGTTTTCCTGGGTAGTGTAGTGTATATGTTTCATGAGCTTACATCAACTCTTTCCAATTCGAGTCGTCAGAATATTGTGAACACTCGCGACGATAATGTTGACGCCGCTGTTAAAAATTACAAAGGTAAAATCGGAGAAAGTTTGAAGGACGATTTGAAACAAAATATACCAGTTGTTGATAAAGGACAACAACAACTTTCTAAGCAAATTGTTGAACCACCACAACACAATGCTGCTCAAAATGACGGTGGTTCTCGACAGCAGCCAGCTATGCCTCAAGCACCGGATGCTCAAAATCTGCAATTTCAACGTGCAGCAGACCCACCAGTGCAGCAACAACAGAAGCAGCCACAGCTGCAACAACATCAGAAAATTCAGAATCAGGTGAAGCAAAATATAGCAGAAGCACGTGATCACCAGAAGCAGCTTGATGCTATCAAGCAGCAACATAAACTGCAGAAAAATGCTGCTGTTGAACAGCAGGCTCAACTTAATGTCATTAAGCAAGAACCAAACGTGGTGCAGCAAAACATACAACAGGTTCAACCTAATGTGATGAAGCAGGATCCTTTGCTGCAGTCCCACAATGCTGCTGTTCCTCTTCATGCAGGCCAGAACCAGCAACAAGCCCAAGCTGGTTACAAGCAGGAGCCTTTACTGTTGAAGGATGTACAGCAACAACAGGTTGTACAAGAGCAAGCAGTACAACAGCAGCCAAAACCACCTGTTCCAGTGCTGCAACAACAGCAGCCAAAACCACCTGTTCCAGTGCAACAACAACAACAACAGCAAAAACAACCACCTGTTCCAGTGCAGCAACAGCAACAACCCCAAGTTCCAGTGCAGCAACAGCAACAACCCCAAGTTCCAGTGCAGCAACAGCAACAACCACCCGTTCCAGTGCAGCAACAGCAACAACCCCAAGTTCCAGTGCAGCAACAACAACCACCCGTTCCAGTGCAGCAACAACAACCACCCGTTCCAGTGCAGCAACAGCCTGTTGTGGATCAACAACAAGTAATGCAGTCGTATGATAAAAAATCAAAACCAGAGTTTGACCACACTGTCATAATGACACTCACCAATGCTGCAACACAACCTGTACTGCGTGAAAAATTCCGAGTGACTCTGAGTTCACTATTGCAGCACTCCTCCATCAACATTAATTTCTACATAACAACAGATAAAGCTAGTGAGCAGTTCATCACTACTATTGTTCAGGAAATTGTCAAAAAAGTACAGCCCAAAGTCAAATTTCAGGTAAGTTGTGTATTTTTATATTCTTTTTCTGTTTACCCTATCCCTCTAAACAGTGTATGCTCTAATTAACAGTGTTTTGTGATTTTTGGGAGTTGAAATAGAAATTAAGTGAGTCAATTTGAACATAGTAACATTCCTCATTTGATTCATCAAGCATAAGGAAAAAAAACCTGATAATCGGGTGATCTCACCTTTTGTCAGCGATTTTTGGAGGACTATAGGTGGCATGTGGTGCCATTTATGTATAATTAAATCATTAAATTCATGTCTTATTTCATAATTGTGATACGTTTTGATGTTAGCATGCCTTTGTTTTTTATTCTGCTATTGTTGCATAAAAAATCACTTTTTCTGGTTGTGTCATTTGGGAATACCTTTGTGTCAATGACATGTGAAAATGGCTTAAAGCAAGCATACTGCTTGTAAATTATTTTTTGTTTTTTAATGTTGGTGTCTCATCATGTGACCTGTGCTGATGACAATACATTACATATATGTATATGCCATAGTGTGAAAGTACGGAAATTCATTTTCTGTTCTTGCCCGTTTGGAAATTGAAAACTAAGTAGGAAGAAGTAAATGGCTTCGTCGATCCTGCACACCTTTTATCTGACATCTTGTAAAACTGATCAATTTTCACTGCTTGGAACTTTCACTATTTGATGATTGGGACTCACTGTCTTTAAGACCTTAGTGACATGTTTACTGTTAACAATTCTTTAAAGAAGAGCATTTTCACTTGAGGTAGAGATGCAGTTTACCTGACAGGTATTTTAATTAGTTAATTAGGAAACCAAGATGACCTCCCTTGTTCACAAAACTATATATTTTCGGAAAGCTTATTGTATGAATTTTAAAGTTTTGTTAGTATTATATTTTTATGGACACTGTAGTTTGAAATATGCACAAAAATGTGCTTTTTTGGTCAAAAGTGATTTAAAAAAAATTAGCTTCTAAACCATGCTTCTGTTTCCTGTCAAAATTGGTTTATGGGTACATCTGTTTACTATGAAGAAAGCGCCGGCTTGAAAAATGTCTACCAGTTGTCAATTTGTAGGGCAGCAGCTCCAATTTCACTACTTCAAGTTTATGCATAAATTAACACCCAGGCTAGTTGTCTGTACGATTGTTGTAGTACTATTCAACTAAAAACAATGCCCCGCCGGCGTTTTGATGATAAACACATTGCTAATCAGTTGTGAAAATTTCAAAACAAAAGGTCAAAGCGTCTACAAGCTATTTTTTTTTAAAGTTCTGGAATGTGCACTAAAAAGAAGCTGAGATAATTGCTAATTTGCATAACAATTCACTCAGTAAGAAGTTTGCTAATGCTCATAATTAAAATGGCTGTAACAGTTCCAAATTGAAATGTATTATCGTTTTGTTAAAAGTTAAACATAGTGCATAATATGGAGATCCCGTCATTTCTTTTTTTTCACCATGTTTCTTTTTTATTATTTATGTACAGCCTTGCTAAATCTTGCTAAGCATTCAAAAGAGAGAATGTTTGCACCTGTTATTAGTCCCCGTTCGGACGCAGTCCGAAAACGGGGACTTATGTTTTGCCCTGTGTGCGTCCGTCCGTCCGTCCGTGCGTCCGTGCTTCCGTGCGTCCGTGCGTCCGTGATCACCTGTATCTCGAACATGCATGGACCGATTGAGTTCAAACTTCACTCATACATCACACATTATATGGGACATATGCACATGCATTTTTTTCATGATCCGATTAACGATAGCCGAATAGCGGCCATTTTAAGGCCGAAAATGCATCAAAATCGCACATTTTCACCATTCCGGACCCGGATCTCAGTTATGCATGGACGGATTTTGTTCAAATTTGGTACATACATCAAACATAATAGGACCTTGATGCACGTCATTTTTTTTTTTGGATCGGGTTCGAAATGGCCGACTGGCGGCCATTTTGTTTTAAAGAATTCAGTTCTGGATCCGTATCTGAGACATGCTTGGATTGATCGAGTTCAAACTTCACACACACAAGGTACATCATGTCACAAATATGTATGTGCATTTGTTTCATGATCTCATTAACGATAGCCAAATGGCGGCCGCTTTAAGGCCGAAACTGCATTGAAATCGCACATTTTCACCATTCCGGACCCGGATCTCAGTTATGCATGGACGGATTTCATTCAAACTTGGTACATACATTAAACATAATAGGACCTTGATGCACGTCATTTTTTTTTTTCGGATCAAGTTCGAAATAGCCGACTGGCGGCCATTTTGTTTTAAAGAATTCAGTTCTGGATCCGTATCCGAGACATGCTTGGATTGATCGAGTTCAAACTTCACACACACAAGATACATCATGTCACAAATATGTATGTGCATTTGTATCATGATCTCATTAACGATAGCCAAATGGCGGCCGCTTTAAGGCCGAAAATGCATCAAAATCACGTATTTTCACAATTCCAGAACCGGATCTCAGTCATGCATGGATGGATTTTGTTCAGATTTAGCACAATGTGTTGTACATATGCAGGTGCATTTCGGTCATGATCTGCTTTGAATGTATATGTCACTCAAATATGAACGGAACGGGGACGTGTCATTGACAATGACTTGTCTATATTTTAAAATCGTTTTTTGAGTATGTTCCACTATTTGCAATTCTACAAAATTTCAACAGTCTATAGCCAAGACTTTTTGGATAATAAAAAAAATAAAAAAAAGAAAAAAAAAAAAATTTCACTCTCAAGTGCCCACGAACCTGCATCTCTACCTTAAGCTGAATATAATAGTTAATTTATTACACACCATTTTGTGGTGACACCAATTGTTACCATGTGCAGTAGAATCTCATTCAGACTAATTTACAACAAAATTGGTTGAATTGTGATTTTTGCATTTGTTCCCCTTTGCCTGCCCATAATATGATTTATAAATTTACATCAAGGTTTTTGTTTTTGCTGCAATTATATTTTTAGAAACAAATGTTAGTTCAAATTGTAATGGTGTCCATGTCTCCTGCTGTACGTTTCACCCCAGGAGGCTTTTACACATGTACAATGACTAAAAAAAATAGGTGTGTACCTTCTTTGTGAATATAGGATGAGTTATTGTCACCCAAAGTTTATTGACCTGTTTTCTACCACTTTACAGACACTATAAGTTCACATTTGAATATTAAACATTCAACCCTAGTCTGATGAATTTAGTTGTCACATTTCATAAGATGACAATATTTCAATTATTCATGTTGTTGAAAAGTATTTGTATGTGAGATGAGCTAGATTCTATAGCCACATCACAACATGTCATTGGTGATTGTGTGTCGTCTCTCATCCACCAACAATTGCATTTTGGACTTCTTTTCGAAAACTACTAGTTTTATTGCTTTGATATGTAGGTATCTTAGGTGGACCTCAGTCAGATTTGTTTGTTTCGTGATGATATTTTCTAATTATAATTCTAATTATTAATAATATTTTAAGCAAATATTTTGATCATTTTTGTTATCAATTTCTTGAAAACTTGCTTAATTTCTTGATACTTGGTATGTAAGTACTATAGGTCAATGTCCTTGTACCAAATCACTGTGAATTAATTTGTATCATCATGAATGAATTCAGATGTGTCAGAATAATATTCAAAATAGATATCACATGAAATTCAAAGAAAACACAAAAATGTGAAACGATTGCCAATATTCAGATGCACTGAAGGTAAAATATGTGCCACAATTCATGCAAAATCAACCAATCAAATCTTTCACTTAATGAAAGTCCCAACACCCTAATACAGCTTTATAAATGATCTCACATTGCAACCATGAGTAGAAGCATACATGTATTACTCGTAGAAAATTGTGTCCTCTTCTATTGAAAATTTGATTTATTACATATCTGAAATAAATGTTGTCTGTATTCATAATGCAGCGTAGTAGAGATATTCCTATCGGATCATTATTCTAATTATTACTCTATAGACTCTGTTCAACAGGTATTACAAATGATATTGCTGTAACAGATGTTTCTAATGTCATACTTTATTTGCTAACAAAATAAAAAGTGTAATCCAAAAATTTATTCACTTGTCAAATTGTTCAAAATCATTCTGTTGATCTTTATAGTACAATATGTTATATTAAAATAATTTTGCTGCGATCACAACTTTCAATAATTCTGTATCCAAAAATATCATCAGATAAATTCAACACAGCATTTTTTGGGAAAATTTTTTTTTTTAATTTTTATGAAAAATCAAAATAAAAGCACAAATTTAAGGCATCTCCATTGATTTTAAAATAAAAAATTGAGCAGAAACTTTTCATTCAATTTATGGGCTTTATTTCGCAAAGCGTATTTGAAACATATCAAAATACCAATGCCATAATGCACCAGTACAATCCCAGAGATTGTGTAGCCACCATTAACCTTGTCACTACCAGTTCCCTCTTTTCATCACAAATTCACAAAATAGTCCTGTTTCATAGTGTGCACTTTCATTTAGACGTTTGGGACAATTTCCAAAAAATATTACACTGCAGAAAAATTTGGTCAAAAAAGTCTAGTGGTGAAAAGGTTAAAGATTTGGTAAAAAGTGAAAAAATGTACAAATTTGTGAACACCAATTTTTGATTGTGGGAATTTTAGATAAACAGTAGACACAGCTACCAAGTAAAAATGATGAAAAATCAATACATTACAAATTTTTAATATTTTGCTTAAAGCGAAAGGTTTCATCAAATCATTGACAATAAGCAAAATCTATTTCCATGGAGATGACTTTACGATCTTCTCATAGCATTAATTAAACTCTGATCTGGTTGCCATTTTGAATCAACAATTGGCCAAAATATATACAAATGAGGTTTATAATTCAAAAGCTATTTTGTGTTTTCTAAATTTGTTCTTTTGTTTGTCAAATGAACAGTAATGCAGCCAAATTCCAGAAAATACTGGTGTGAAAAGTATGAGCTCCACCATCCATTTTTAGCTCCGCTGTCGACTTTGTCGAGCGGAGCTTAT